ACCCCTCAATCCTCATCGTCGTCTCCCAAAATTCATTCTCCCCTCTATGATTTTCTCTCCTCTTCTGATTCCGGTTAGGTAGTTCATTAGCATAGGACATCGACCTCCTCTAATCCCCTGCTTAAGATGAAATCCTTGTTAGTAATTGAAAAACGGGTGTCAAAAGATACTTGAACTCCATCTAGATTTTGTGATTAGTATCAGAGAGTTGCTAGAAACTCAAATCTAAGATGAGGTTTCGTTGAAGAAGAAAAGAATTTCATTAATTGGCTACCACTGATGAGGTTTGTGTGACTCTTACAAAACACCCTGATATACACTTGCTTATGAATTTATATATATGTTATATATATATAATACCCAAAGGTGTTATATAAATATAATACCCAAAGGTGTTATATAAATATAATACCCAAAGGTGTTATATTATCTATCTGGAGCTATGTTTTAGAGCAATAGAAGTTTAAATTGTAATAATAAAATATGATGTAAATGGGTAAGAGTATCTCTTGTACTCTAATATAATAAAATTTTCTTTTGACGATAAAAAAAATATAATATCTTTGGCAGTTAAAAGAAGTTAATTATTTTTATGAATTAACACATTTTTATTTTTTTAAAATATTTTATCAATAAATTTTGGTAAGTGAATGAAAATTTTCAAATATTTTGAATTTAAGGGTATTTTTGTCCATATTAAAATTTTATAAAGATTATCCTGTGTAATCTTATAAGTTCCAAACTAAGCATAAAATAAATTTTTTATACAATCCAAAAAAATATCAAATATAGGATGAAACTTTTATTATCTTTTCCAATCCAATTCTGTTTTATTTTATCCAATCCTATCCTAATCTGCATTCCAAACGTAGTGTAAGTAATTTAATACTGTTTAACCCAATTTAATCTTATCTTATCCTTACATTTCAAAACTATCCTGGAGGAAATTGGAAAGAAAGAACAGATATATCAAACGAAAGGGATTATAAATATATAGGTACTTCAACACAAAATATAGTCTTTCCAAAGTCACAAGTCACTGCCGTTTTTTATATCAGCAAACTGGAAACCAATATATATATTGCCATTTTACCTAATAAGCATATCTATACTATTTTGATGATCAGGAATGGCGCTACATGGAGAGTTCAAGCAAATACTCATCAAAGCATCCAACCAGGGATGAAGCCGTTGACCTGTTGAGCATGAGAAGTGGCAGCAGCCATCTGGTCTGAAACAACAGGATTGTATCTGAACCACAAGGGATGATGAATTAGGACAGTTGAGGAGCAAGGTGTGCTAAAGTTCCATGATGTAAAGTTAGAAAGGTTGTAAGAAAATTGGAAAGCTTGTTTACCCTATCTGCAAAGTGGGATTGCATTCCAGAGGCTGAAATAAGTCTTGAGATTGAGCCTGCTGGTTGTTGTAGGATACATTTGGATCGCCACCATCCCACGATACTCGAAGCTGGTTTCTTGCACTTATTTCTTCCAGCTGCAGCAAAACATGACAAAAATGAGTATAACTGAATTACTGAATTAGGCACCATCTTACCTTTAGGTGCAGGAAAACTAGGCAGGTTAACCACACCATGTTAAAAACATGAGAAAATACACATGAAAACCTTCCCAATATGGCAATATCGTCTACTTTTCCCATCTTTCTTGGGTCAATTTGGGATCTCAAATATAGAAATATGACTACCATACGGAAACCTAATGGGTTCATCCTAGTGAGTTTTTGAGTTCAATCATACTTGCTTTTAAATTTAGTCATATAGATGACCAAGATATCAATTCATCTTTCAAATGATTAACACATGTTTTTTCAAAAATAAAAATAAAAATCAAAATGACTAACACATGTTGTGTATGGGAAAATGACCTTAAGCTCAAGCCTAAGTTTAAGCCAAGAACAAACAGTAGCTAAATATTAATGTAGAAAAAAACATATATATGCTCATCATTGAGGGTTCTAACACATACTTGGCCCAAATGTGCTTCTTTAATATATAGGATGTAAAATTAACAACAGGCAATACAAAAGTACTTCTGTAGCCAAAGACTAATGGAAGACAACCTTAATTAAACCTCCATATGCATGTATGATATTTCTTAATTGCCCTTTTTATGAGGTTAGCTGACTAATGGAGAAAAACATTAAGCATTATTTTACCTTTATTGTCAAAGCTCTGTTAGCTTCAAGTAACATATGTTCCTGTATAAAGCAAAACATGGTGTAGAGTGCTTTTAGTATTACAACTTAGATTGAAATGATTTTCCAAGACCTGATATACCTTATTTTGAAGATCAGAAAGCTGGTCAAGCATATATTGGGTCTGCAAATAAACACACACGAGGAGTTAGGGTATAAAAATTTCATGGTACTGTCTACCATATATGCATTCATGCACTTGGTCTCTTGACCCAATGGTAGGTGTGCACCGTTAATTTCCCTTCCCAAGCCCAAATTTTAACCTATTTAAAAAATTTACCTTCATCATAATTTTTTTTTCGATGAATAAAAATTTTAATTTTTTTGAGTACATGGATACTTTTACCCTTAAATACAGAAACAATTTCTCAACAAAAAAATGTTGGTCATAAAGTATGTGGAACATGCTCAAAAATTGGAAGATTTCAACCTCCACAAAGTTATGTAACTAATATAAAAGGTAAAGGTGCAAATATCTCTATAGTGCACAAACAAAGGAAAATGATTGACACATCTAATAATACCTTTTGATTCAACACATATGATAATATCCACCAGTTTAGTTATTAAAATTTACTTTTAAAAATTTTCTCACATTGAATTTAAATTTGAAAATATTAGTTTTTTAATGATTGAACCAGTGAGTATTGTTAGGTATGTTAAACCGAAAGGTATACCAATCATTGTCTCATGAACAAATTATCCAAATGTCAATCTTTAACATGATGATAACAATCCTGTCAAACGATTCTGCTGAAAATTTAGTACCTTAATGGAGCGGACATGTTTCAAAGATGTCTCCAGTTGACGCTCAAGCTGCTCAAGCTCCTTTGTGTTCAAAGGACCCAGGTCCTCACCAAGAAGATTCCTGCAAAAAAAAAAAAAAAAATGCAAAAGGAAAATAATTCGAGCATAAATCTTGGTGGTGCAATTAGATTTTCCTCAGGTAAGCTGCAGGTTAGATTAGTTATTACTTATACCTCTAAAGAAAAATAAAGAACCCCAAATTGTATACTAACAAATCAAAAAAAAAAAAAAAGTTGTTGAATGCAATGTTTGGATTAGTTACCTCTGAGTTCGCTGCAGAGCCTCGTATCTAGCTTTCAGTTTAAGGTATTCCCTGTAGCTGTTCTGTTAGAACAAACAAGATATTTAACATGTTGAAAAAAAGCACTGCAATTGTCTGAAGGCCAATAGCTTTTCTTCCTTATCTTATGTCTAAGTGCCACACCATATCACAAAAACACTACCTTACATTTTTTTTCTTGATCGGGCAAAACACTTTATGGGCATGAGACATGATATCCCAAATTCAATTCCCACACTAAGTGGAAAAGATGTTGCTTTCATTCATGAATACAACTAGGTCTTCTATATTACCTCAAGCTCCTTGGTTGGTTTGTTAACTTCCACTGCACCATAGCTGCATTTCTGATATCTTTCAAGGGTCTTAAGCATGCTGGGAGGAAGGCATAAAAAGAAACTCATCAGGATATGATAAAAGGTGAGCTACCAATAATCAGAAAAAAGGACATGTGCGGTGAATTATATAGTCAAATTGGAGATTGAGAAACAGAAAATGCTACGTTAGTTAAGTCCATTTTACTTTTAGCATGTAACTAGCTAATATTTTTATAAAGTCTAAGAATATCAATTGAATTTTATTTTTATATGTAGTTCTTGATAAGTAGTAGAAATACTACAATATTTAAATAAATTAAGTTTCGAAATTAGTATTATTGTAGAATTGTTTTGGAAATTTGAATTTAATTCAATTTTTAGAGATGCACAGCATATTTAGTGTTTTTCTTTTTATCGGTGCACCCTACATGGAATAGTTTTTCTAGAAAAGTGAAACGTTGTTGAGTTTGTGTGGAGAAACTAATTGGGAATCAATTAGAGGAGGAGTGCTAAATTTATTGGATGTGTGTCAACGAATTTGCATTTAAGGAGGCCAAAAAGTGTTCATAATGCAAGTGAATCAAATCAATCTAGATATCTGATAATAATCTATATATCTAGAAGGCTGTCAAAATAAAATGGCAATGATGGTATAAAAAAGGGTTATGACTTTTGAAGTTAATAGTTTAATTTATTTGTAGTTTGGTCTCTCTTTCTTTAGATAAATCAAAATTTATTATAAACAATAATACAATAAGTACTCAACCCGTGATATCAAAAAGTCATAATAAATAAAAATAATAAATGTATTTTGAGATTATGAAAGCATTTTCAAAACTATGAAAGCATTCCAAAAGCTATGAGAATAATTGGGAACTGAAATATAGAATCTAGCTCTTGGGAATTTCTTGGATGCATATGCTGGGGAAGTTGCACCAGTAGTTTGGTCTCTTTCTTTTAGGAGGGTGTTGTTTTGCAATTTATTTGGATGCAGAATACTTATTTGTTCTTTTATTATGTTTCAAATAAGTATTTGAATGTGAGAGGCAATTTCAACCTTTCACCTTCCAATTTCTCTAATAGTACTCTTGTATATTATTGAATCATATATAGGCTATTTAAGTCAGTATTCTTTGAGTCCATCTAAATATATGTTCTTATGAGTGACTCATAAAAAAATTAATTTTGAATGTAAACTATAAAAAATATTATACAAAAATCTAATCTAAAACCAGAGTTTTTGATTTCTTGGCTTGACAGAAACCACAAGTTGAAATCCAGTAAGCTAATAAACATTTAGTTTCATATGCTAAAACAGTTTAAGCTTGTAGGTTATAAGTATATTTCTCCTAATGTCTAAAACAGATGACTTTGTACTTCCCTAACCCTCATTTTTTAAATCGTTGTTTTAATTATATGCTAAAATGGAACATTTACTTTTGTTATGGTTCAAACTATAAAAGATCAATATTTTATTCTATCCAAATGAAATTTGGTTTGTAAATTCAAATATATAATTCAAGCAAAAGCACTGAAAAATGGTTAAAAAAAAAAACTGTAGAAAGGTCTGTGGAAATTGTGCCCTGTATGTAGGTAGTATTACAGAGAAAAAGGATATCCTTCTCTGCAGCTAGTAGCAGTAGCTAGCTGGCCATGCCATGGAAGTCTGGTACAAGTATTTACACCAAGCAGAAAAGAGATATGCATGCGTCCATGCGCAGATCATGATTGTAGCGCTCACCCTCTCCCATTTTCAATTAGTTAAGACCCTTTGGTCTCTCTCCATCGATCTGTCCAATTCCTAAACTTTTTCGCAAGGGTTCATGAAACCTTAATTCTCCAAAGAAAACCTAGGAAAATGGAAATCTTGTTTCCCAGGAATATGCATGGATAAATTTTCATGTCTTAAAAGATGATGAAGATCAGGATCTAAATGTTTTAAAAATTAAAACACAAAAATATAAGGCTTAGATCTTCGAGATCAGAGCAAACATGGAAAAACCCTAGACTTAAGTTCCAAGAAATGATCATAATCAATGCAAGAACATGAGGAAAAAAAATGGTTTATATTCAAGAAATCATGAAGCTTATATCAGGGTTTCATAAATTTGTTTAACCCTAAATAGTGCTTATAAAAAAATTAACCCTAAAAAGGAATAAAATGAAATATCTGTAAATCAACCACACAGATCTCTCAAAACAGCATAAATCAACAGCAAGAGAGAGGAATAAAACATTTTGAGTTATATATAATTGAATAATTAATTAATTACCTAGAGGTGCTGCAAAATTCATACAGCTTCCCACGGTTGGAGAAGACGATGAGAGCAACCTCAGCATCACAGAGGACAGAGAGCTCATAAGCTTTCTTCAGCAACCCATTTCTCCTCTTTGCAAATGTCACCTGCCTGTTTATCTTGTTCTCTATCCTCTTCAGCTCCACTCTTCCTCTCCCCATAATCCCCTACTCAAAAAAATTTATCAATAATTATACCCTTTTTATTTATTTATACTAGTATACACAAAAATTGTGTTTCTCTTGGGATTTCTCAAACGTTATTCCTTATTTTTGGGAACAAGGGTTGTGTTTGTTTTGTGATTCAGGGATCTAAATGTGAGCCAGTTTGTGAAAAAAACAGAGAGGGAAAGCTGGATTCTTGGCTCTTGGAAAGAAACCCTTGACACATTGAGAAAGGAAGAATGGGTTTTTTTGGTTTGTTTCTCTAAAAACTTGGGTGAAGGACTTCTAAGCTCTCACTCTCAGGTTTCCAATCTGCACCAAAGAAATCAAAAGTTTGGTGTTTAGGGATGGGTGCTCTTCCTTGTTTCATATAACCTGCAAAATTTCACTGTTTACCTCTCTAAGACTGCATTGTATCCACGCTCCACCACGGCGCGTGTTTATACTCACCAACAAAGTTCCACGTGTCAGTAATAGAGTTGATTTGTTTGGGGAGAGTGTCATCACGTGAGAATTGAGAGAGTGGTGGAAGATTTTTCCTGAATTGGATTCTGTCTATCATTTCCTGTTGGCCTCAGACGTATCAGAACGTCGTCACCAACCTTAAAATGGATCTACACGTGTCGTTTGCTTATTGGTTTTTTAATTTTTAGCATGCTAAATTCAGGTTTTAATTTTGCCTTTTTTTTGTATGACTTTTGTGTCCTTATTGTTATAGCTAAATTACAACTTGGTTATGATTTTTTTTCTACCTTGAGCTTTGGATGATTTACCCTTTTCAATGTGCACTTACTAATTTAAGGGTGTGAATGAATTAATTTCTCACAACATGATCAATCCTTAATTGGTAAAAGGTTTATACATTAAACACCTAATTAAAGTTTTAAGACTTTAAGTACAAGCAAGATAAAGATTGGCATAGTTGTTGGTAATCATTATCTGAAAGAAATTTCGAAGAAATATCATAATTTATGGATGGTGATGTCAATTGTTGAAACAAGTTCATGCATTTAATGCTGATTTTTGGTTTTTTGCTCAAATTAACAAGACAATGACAATAATTGAAACAAGTTTGTGTAATAAAAATCCCTACTCAAATTGTATTCATTACTTGCATTGTTCTGCTCTATTCTTTAATGCGTTCTTTTAAAATTATGATGTAGAATTCACCCAAATTGATTATATACGAAAACATCCTTTTGTGATTCGTACATAAGTGTATTGGAGGAACACTTGTGCTCTTAATCAATGTATTCATTTTGATCGATCTCTTGCGCGTGCTAAAAGTAAAAAGACTTACAACTTAAGCTGAATTAAGGTTAGAATGTTATTCCATACTTATGCAATTCCGTCTGGTCCCCTAGGATCCTCCCTAACTTTCGCCAAACATATTTATTCCTTTTCTATATTACCAACCAAATTTATTCTAATTTGATGGACATTGATGTCACTTGGCTTTTTAATATTTTTCATTCAAATCCGCATATATCCTTATTCTAAAGATCTCAGATTTTGATATATTTAATTGAAACAATTTTAATTGAGTGCCTGGACTGGACCAGTCTATTTTTCTCTCTTACAAAAGCTTTTTAGACTGTATATATATTAATTAGCCTGGAAAAGAATAAGAAGAGCTCACACTTTTATGAGAAAGGAGAAGGAAGACAAAAACACAATATTTACAAATTGATTTGGCCATTTACATACAAAAACTTATAAGATTGTCTAATGGGTGTTTTAGATAATTAAGAATTCAAGATTTTAAGTTAGATATCATTTTATGTTTATCAAATAAAAAAGTTATAGATCTCGTATTTGAATCTTAGAGTAAGAGATGAGAGATTAAGGGAAGTAAAAGTTATTTTTTATTGTATGGCATGATTAATTATATGTTGTACCAACAAACAAAAAAAAGTTTTTTAATTCGTATTTTTAAGATTGTATGTTAATAATACTTTTTTGTCATTAATATGTATAAAAAATAAAAAAAAAATTAATATTAATTTTAGTATCATTGTCATATGAATGAATTTAATTAAATAATTAACAAATTATTTTTTTATTTTTTAATATAAATTTATAATAAAAAATATTTTTATTATATTTTTAATTTATATTTTTAAGTATACATTTTAGAAAAAAAATAGTGATTAGTATATATTCTGATTTACACCTTGCATAATATATTTATTAAAAAATTATTATTTTTTGATTTGACATTAAAAATAAATAAATTTAAAAATATAATTATACACATAAAATATAAGAATCGATTGAATTTATTGTATTTATATTATATTGTTAATAATTAAACTAAAAATATATTGACAAACATATTGAATTAAGTATATATAGATTATTTTTTCAAATAATAATAATAATAATAATGATGATGATGTGTGAGTAGTAGAAGAGATGACATATTGGCATTCATTTTTCTTCTTCTTATTTTCTTTTGCATTCAAAACCAGACAATGGGCATTTCGACTTCGAAAAAGCAAAATTGTCTGATCTAACAATTTCCAACAACCATTCCGGAGGATTTATTAAAACCAGAGGCAACTTGTCGCCTCCTCATTGGCTGTCGCGAACAGTGCTCAGGTGCGCCGCAGACGACGTACAAAAGGAACACCGGCGTATATACCTGAGGCCCCCGACGAACACGTGGTGAGATTTGACTTTGACACCAGCGTCAGTGAATTTTCAATCGCGGAGGTGTCGGTGGCGTGCTGGATTAAAAAGCACTGTACAATAATTGGGATGGGGCAATTCAGCTCTTTTCTTTAAATTACTACCTATTTTCTATTTTTCATGTAGGTTCGGTTATAGGTGATTACAAGGACTGAGAATTACCGAAGGTTTTTATTTTTTTTTCGTAGAGACATAAAAAGTTTCAAAAAGTGTGTATTTTATTAAAAATATTTTAATACATTTATGAAATAAATTAATTTTTTAATATATAATTAAAACGATAAAATATAATTTCTTAAAAAGTTTCGAACTCCCTAATATGGTTTAATGGATGGATCACGCTACTTTAAAAAAGTAACATGTGGAACTCACCAAGTTTTGACTTCAATGCTAATCTATAAATAGATACTTAACACCTAATTAATATTCTTTTGTCAAAAAAGAAAGAAAGAAAAAGTTTTATCATTGTGCTATACTAATTCAAGTGTGGTTGCACTCCACCATGACAAGAGGAGCGTATGTGCACTCGGGTTAAGGTTAAATGCAGATAACACTCATCTTTATCTTTTGATATAATATATAACTCAATTGATAAAATATATTATTATTTAATTTAATATATTCTGTTTCAATCTTTAAATATAAAAAAATAAATAAATAAGTGACATCCTAACATTAATCTCCTGATTGTATCCCACTCAATGAATGGTCCTGATTGAAAATATCAGCACGTCTTGATTTTTGTCCAAATGTAAATGTCTTATTGCAATGAGAGGAATGTATATTTTAAAAGAAACCCCTAGTAAGTGTGATAACATATGCAGCACTAGGCCTTTTGGGTCAACTGGCATCTAACCAGCTTGAGGTACATTCCTCTTCTCTTTAAACCCGCTTCTTAACAACTTGTTAAAAGAAAAAAAAGTGTGATAACATATGCAGCACTAGGCCCTTTGAGTCAACTGGCACTCAACTGGCTTGAGGTACATTCTTCTTCTCCTCAAGCCCGCTTCTTGACAACTTGTTAAAGAAAAAAAAATGCGATAACATATGCAGAAAAAGACGGCAATGAATGTCAACAAACTCTAGCCAGCTAGAGTTGAATCTAGAATGGTCATAGTTAATGTCAATAGAAGTTTAAATTAAAGTTCTAATGCAGTTTTGCTTGGACTTTAAAGTTGGAATCCAATTGTTTTAAGCTTTTCCAACCACAGTTTGGTTAGTATGTACAGTGAGAAATGTGGAAATTTGAAACTTTTTTACTGGATAAGTCATTTGGTCCCAGAGAGTGAAACAGAATATCATATCATCTCATCAAGAAAAAGGTCCACTACTGAAGTGGAGGACATAGATATCACAATCAAACAACGAATGCTGAATTATTTCCATCATTTTCACTCCTTTAAAAGCAGTGAGTAACTTTGCAGTGCCTGATTTCAATCAAGCACACCAACAGATTGCAACATCAGGACAGCAAACTTTGCAGGGCGTGATTTCAATCAAGCACACACACCAACAGATTGCAACATCTGGACAGCAACTTTATACTCTTTGGTCTGGAGAGGAAAGCAAAGAAGATTGTGAAATATTGGGAAACTGAATTATTTCAAAATTGACTCAACAACTTCATCTAACGTGAATAAGAGTTAAGGATGGAGTAACCCACGCTTCAAATGAATGGAGACATGTAGGAAATGGTTGAAATATGTAGTTGTCTTTCATAAAGATCAAGTATGGGATTGTCATTTTATCCATCCTCCTAGGTGATTATAGGTCCACATCAAAAGTACTATCTATCAGAAAATAGCGACCATACCTCACATAGTGGTACAAATAGGAACCCACTCAATACGGAAGCATGGTAGACCTTGGTGAACTTAGTCAAATGTGGCTATGTGATGGCTTTGATTGCTCCTAAGTCCTAACATGCAGAAGAAGGGGATATAAGGTGCCCTGTCCATTCCCCTTGGTAATGTCTTGTTGCTTGTCATTAGCCACATGGGATATGCAGCTGCCACATCAGCACAGTGGGCCCTAAAAAGCCAAGTCATCAAGCAAGAGACAAAAAAGATGAAATAAGTTAATGTAAATTGTTACATATAGGCACATTTTAATCAACCGAATGGTTAGAAGGCTAATTTACCACAAGATGGATTTAGGAGCAGATTTCCAGCAGCTCAGAGAGTAGAAATCCTGATTTACTCCTTTTGCTATTAAACAATTGCAATAGATAAAAGAAAACACCCTTACAAATATCCATGTTCAACTGTGCTCGTCATATCTGGTTTATGAAGACCAAAGAAAATCAACCTTTGAATGTTTTACAGCAATCAGGACAGGGGAAGTGACCTTTAGCTTGGTACTTTGTACATGGTGCAAAATTAACCTTTGATACAACAACCCAAAGTATTGACTTAAGTCCTCCATGGGGTTAAAACTGAATGAATCCTGTGCTCTGATTAACCCAGCCCCTTTACATTTGGAGCATGCTGTCATCTATACATCACCACACCTCTTGTACTTACCCAAAGAGCTGAATTTTCAAGGAGTGAGACATTAGGATATGTGCCAATTACCAAGGATGGATTGAAATGATCTTAATCCAACAACAGCGGATCTAAACCCATTAGTAAAGACAGTTCAAGCTACTGTTTGGCAATCTTGTCATATGAATGAGAAGTACCAGCCATCTAAACAACACAATCATCTATCCCAACAAGATGAAACGGATCAAGCTCAGGTTTCTTAAAGTGCTCTGTTATAATTATTAAATTGGTCTAACAGTTCTGTGCCACTTGTGCTAGTCGAAGCACCTAGCACGACATCACTAACTACCAGGGAAAAATATAGTGTATGACCAGCAGTTATGCACAGTTTATCTACCCGAATTTCCAGTAAGGTATGGGGACATTGAGTTTTCCTACTCATATTCAGAAAAAAAATATCTTTCAAGAAGGATATCAAAACAGAATAGAGTTTTAAGAGAGCCCGAGAACTCCAAAACTCATCTTGATCCTAGCAAAGCAGGAGACATAAAATGCTACATAATGATGGAAAACCCACAGATGATAGCAATTCGTGACAACCCAGCACACGCTCAAAAATCCACTAAGCCTTCCACATTCACATTCCTACTTAGCAATACCGGTTATTCAGCAATCAAAGAAATAGATAAATTTAACTGAACATCAAGAGTGGCACAACAACAACATCATCAACATCTACAATTATTGAGAATGCTCCAGACTAAAAAACTACAAACAGACATTACAGACCCACTTCAGATTTCTCTAGATTGCATGTTTGTAACAGAAATCCAATAACAGATTATATGAAATACCAAGAATCCAAAAGACAACAAATTAGTAAGTCTTAAAAAGTGCAACAACATAGCTCATTTACTACCCAAAAAAAAAGAAAAAAAACAAAAATTTTCACTCATACCCATTAACAAAAATCATGCTATCTCATCATCATAACAGAATTTTAACTTGAGTTTCTTCAGATTTTAACTAAGAAAGAGTAAGAGAAAAGGGTGCAGCAGAGTACCTCCTCTGTGAAGCAGAGATGAAAGGATCAAGTTTAGGAGCAGCAATGGTGGCAGTGAGGAAACCAGAGCGAGCGCTCACTCCAAACCCTGTGTTGTTGTGGGTGTGCCTTGGCACTTTGCAGGT